TTTAGCTAAGTTGATTCTAGTTTTTTAAAACACTTTTGATAATTTTTATATGAGTGATGAGTGAAAAAGCTTAAAAAACAAATATATTACAAAAATATATACCTCAAATTGCATTTATTGAAAAAGTTTTGGATATCCGTAAAAATTATAAATTAAAAAAAAATATCCGGAATTCCGGAAAAAGATAATCCTTGGGTATATCACATATTCTACCCCTTAAGGTAGAAAAATATATCCTACATAATAAGGCATATTTGTCTACCTTTATATAAAGTAGTAAAAAACGCCTTAAGGTATAACTTAATAACTTAAGCAAGGTAGACAATTTTACCCTTAAAAGTTATATTTATCTACCATTTCGCCTACCTTCAAAGGTATATCCTACCCTTTAAGGTAGAATATTATTAAGGTATTTTATTATACCCCTATACAGGGTAGCTCATTAGTCACTTTACATTTTTAAAATTAAATAACTTTTTCTTAAACGACTGCATTTAATTAATTCTTTTTTTATTACAAAGTTTAGAGTCTGTAAGTTAGTTCTGACTTAGTTACGAAAGATAATGTCTCTTAAATAGCCTCCATTCTCGTCTTCACTAAGTCGAGCTCTTTTTAAACTATTCTCCATGACACTTCTTAACATCTGAGGTTCTAGGGAAAGAATTTCCTGTCGTATGTTTGCCTTAAAATCTTGAATAGTACGGGGCTTATTTGCATACACTTTGTCTTTAAGATATCTCCAAAGCCAAAAGTCTGGTGCTGTCAAATCAGGAGAACGTGGAGGCCATTCAAAATTGGATTTAAGAGAGATTATCCAATCCTGAACATTGCAGTTAACAATTGCATTGTGGCTCAAACGGTATGTGCAGATGCTCCATCTTGTTGCCACCAATACCCTGCCGTGTTTGCTAACTGAGGTTGAACAAAATTCGCTAGCATGTCTTGATATTTCTTAGCAGTTACAGTCACAGCATTTTCATTTACATCTTCAAAGAAGAAAGACCCAATAACCCTTTCTGATGTTACTCCACACCATGTTGCTACTTTAACCGGGTGTAATAGACTCGCATTAACTTGGTGTGGATTTTCGGTGCCCCAGAATCTGATATTCTGCTTATTCACATATCCATTCAAATGGAAATGAGCTTCATCTCCCATGATTAACTTGTGAATAAATTCATTGTCATTTCTTGCAGTTCTCTGAAACCTGACAGCATAATTTAGTCGTTTCTGAAAACCTGGAGGTTGACGCGTTTTCAAGAGCCAAGCGCTTGAAAACGCGTCACTAAGTTCATTATTGCAGGCCTACTAGGGGGATGTCGAACATTAAAATGGCGCGCATACAATCTTTGCGTTGCAACAATTGACCGTCTATTTTCAAAGTAAAATTCAATTATCTTCACTCGTTGTTCAGTCGTAAACTTATCCATTCCAAAAATTTCCAAAGATTATATTTATTAATTCTGAAAAGAGAAATAGAAATATATTTATAGAAAAAAAGTTATTAAATTTTTAAAATGTAAAGTGACTTATGGGCCACCCTGTATATAAGGTATTTTTTTCCACCCTTAAAAAAATTTGCAGCAACAACACATTTAAAAAAATTTATTTTACTTTTATTACAAATATAGGTTAACAACAATTTGTTCAGCAACCGTTGAACCGGTGGACTGACACAGTACTCACTAAGCCAAAAAATATAGTTGGCTAGAAATGTCATTGTTTTCTGGAGTCGCGGATCGAAGGCTATATCAAAAAGCCAGTAAGATGCTATCAAGACTTTTATTGCTTCATCGATGGATAGAACGTTACAAATAATTAAACCATTGAGGTAGATCGCTATATGCACATCTTCAAAATGCAGAATATTGGCTTGATTTGAGCAAGTAGTTCTTATTTTTGGTGCGCTTAGAGTTGATTCCTAAAAAAATCAGAATTGCTAATATAAATATTACACTTATATTGACAAAAATAAAAAAAAAACACTTTAAAAATCACAAAATCTCATCGAGAATGGAAGCTTCAAAGCACTTATGAGACCTTATCTATCACGACCCATCTTTCAATTTTTTCACAAAATAGGCGGGCAAGCACAACATCGATGCTCTTATTTGTTGTGCTAAAAATATGTATAAATTTTTTTAAATAAATTAAAATAAATTAAAAATGAAAAGACATATTATAAACCTTCTATATTGACATTCGACTCAGATCCTATGGCAGCCACAATGTTAGTCACCAAGTCAATATTTTTGGCATTTCTTTTCCCCGACTTGGCCATCTCCAGTACTTTTATAGATCTTTCAGCTGTAAAGAACTAATTTATTTTATTGATTTCTTCATTTCCAGTTATGAGATTTACCTCTTCTAATAGCTATAAATCATAATTACACATATTAAAATTTATTAACTATAAATTATTATTACTCCATCAATTTATAAATTTAAGTTAAAACAAACCTCTGTAGCAATCTTTAATGCTGGATACTCTTTTAGTATTTGTGTTGTGGTAGAATTAAGAATTACTCTTCTTCTATGCACAAAAGTCTTTGCCATTCGATCTCTTACCTTTGCCATTCGATCTCTTACCTTTGCCATTCGATCTCTTACCTTTGACATATCAGGAAGACTTTTTTTAACTCATTTGGAATGGTTTCTTTGTGTGCAATGCAGCTTAGCAAATCCTCCATAGCGTTTGTTTGCATCTTAAACAAAATTTAATAAAATTTAAAGCAACGATATTGCTTTTTAGATTTTTGGAAATTATATATTAAATACAGAATTGGAATAACTGATCTCTAAGAAACTGACCTCCAACCGTTTCTGTTTTGAAGTTACTGCATATTCAATATAAAATTCCTTTCTTTTAAGCGTTGTACTAAACTTTTTATGCTCTTGTACTGAAGAAACATTATTTTAGACCTTTCAGACTTAAATCTTGTTTTTAAGCTGTTTAACCAAGTTGCCTTAAAAGAAATTACTTATTTAAATTATTATGAATAATTTGTGTGTGTGTGTGTGTGTGTGTGTGTGTGTGTGTGTGTGTGTGTGTGTGTGTGTGTGTGTGTGTGTGTGTGTGTGTGTGTGTGTGTGTGTGAATCGATGTCTACTAATTATAAGATGAAAGTAAAAAAATATTTTTTGATTTTTATAAGATCTTGAGGTTCCTCTTTGGATTCTAAGTACTTGACGGGTCCTAATAATTATGAATTTTTTTTCAAAACCATAATAACCTTGGACTCAAAAAAGCAGAAAAAAAATGCCTGTTTTATAAATAATAATTTTATTAAAAAAAAAATTTTTCAGAAAAAAAAAATTTGCAAAAATATACCTTAAAACCCCAGTTTTGTCGAAGTTTTTTTATAAAAAAAACAACTCAATTTTTATTTTTTACTAAAAACAAATATTATTTTGAAAATCAGCATATTATTTTGTTTCTTTTGAGTACCAGATTGATATAGTTTAGGAGAAAAAAATTTCAACAATTTTAGGACACGTCATAAATTTAGAATCCAAAAAGGAACCTCAAGAACTCATCTAAATGCAAAAAAAAAAAAAAATAATAAGGTTCTTTTTTCACCTGAAGACATCGCTTAGCAACTCAGGCAAATCAAATTTTGAAAATTTTTAACATCGCTCCACCCTGAACAGTTTTTTAGTGTTTTAGATTTTTAGTGTTTTGAGCTAACTTCCAGACTATTTATATTTTCATGTTTATGTCAAATAAAAATACTTTGCAAAAAATCCCTTAAAATTTAGCCCCTTTACCCTTAACATGAGAGCAACATGTTAACAAAATAATTTTTTAATTTTAACTAGATTTAAATTCATTGACAAATTTTAAGTTTTATGCACTAATCTTTTATTGCTTGGTTTTTATGACCCACCAAAGTTAAATCTTCTCTTAAATTGAGGGGGTTTCAAACATTATGAGGTCATTGTTTTCGAACAATAAAAGATTAGTGCATAAAATTTGAAAATTGTTGATGAATTTAAATATAGTTAATATTAGTAAAAAATATGTTGTTTAAATTTGTTGCTCTGCATTAAGGACAAGGGGGCCAAAATTTTGTGCTTTTTATGTTCCTAGGCTCCAATCATTAAAATTTTTTTGTAAAGTATCCTTATTTGACACAGACATGAACATTTGAAAGTGTACAGTGTTCTCAATGTCTGGAAATTAGCGATCTTAATCACTAAAAAACTGTGTCTGTGCCAATGTGTGTGTGTATGTATATATATATATACATATATATATATATATATATATATATATATATATATATATATATATATATATATATATATATATATATATATATATATATATATATATATATATATATATATATATATATATATATATATATATATATATATATATATATATATATATATATATATATATATATATATATATATATATATATATATATATATATATCAGAGCCGTGGCTAGGCACCCCCAAACCCCCCAATTAGGGGGGCCAGTATTTTTAGGGGCCCTTTTTAAAAGTTAAAATATCTTTTAACTTTAAAGGGTTTAAGTGAAGTAAAAAGAATTGCATTTTAACCATTATATTAACTAAGTTATGCATGCTAAAAAGTAAAAAAAGCAAAAGTCATTTTTACGCAAAAACAATTTACACTCCCGAGTTCTTTTGTTTTGTTAGAAGTTTTTTGAAAAACCACTATAGCGGTTTGTCTGATGTTATTTTAGCGGTTTGTCTGATGTTATTTAGCGGTTTGTCTGATGTTACTAGCGCGCTAATGAGAAACCATTAAACAGCGTTTCGTGGGGAAATATATTTCAAAGTATGTCGCTTATTTTATGGTTACAAGCGAATTTATTATTTTTAATTAGGTTATTTATTGATTAACTATAATTTGCTGGTAATTTAACTGTTTACCAATTCACCACGGTAAAGTTTATTTTATTACTATTATTTCTATTACTTATGTTTTATGCCTAGCAAAAAATATAATTATCTTTCATTCTTAGTTTTTTACAATATTTTGGAATTATTGGAATGAAAAAAGTGAAAAGTGGTGCCACTAAAAGAAGAGAAAAAGCTGCAGCCATGGAGAAAATCATGAAATACCCCAAGCTAACACATTTTTTAAATCCAGCAGTTCCGGCTAGCAGTGTTTTGATATCAACAAATAATTTTGATTGTAATTATTTGGGTACTAGACTAGAGTCAGATGGGTTAATCTATGACTCAAATGCAAAGTCAAATGTAAGTCATGGTTTAATCTGTGAATCAAATGCCACAACAAATCCACTAATATTTCTCAGTGATGATCCTTCTGATTGGCCTGATAATGTTTCTGACGCTCAGAAGTGTGATGTTGTTAAACGAGGTTTAAAAAAGATTGAAATCGACTTTCCAAAAAATTCAGAAAGAAGACGATTTTCCATGAGTTATTATAACCGCAAAATGAAAAATGGAGAAATCTTTGAAAGATCATGGCTTATATATTCTTTAAATAGTGATAAAGTGTTTTGTTTCTGTTGCAAACTTTTTGGGATAACTTCTTCACCATTTCGAAAAGGAATAAACACGTGGGAAGGCTTATCAAAAAAACTTAAAGAACACGAAACATGCAGTGCACATTTAAAATGCTTTGAACATTGGATGGCATTACGAAAAGGTAACTGATATTTCATTTAACTTGTTTTGTTACTTTTTTTATTGCTAAAATATTAATTTTTTTTCAATTTTGACAATGCAGGCATAGCAAATCAAGCTACCATAGACGAGCAACAACAAAAGTTGCTTCATAAAGAGCGGGTATTTTGGAGATCTGTGTTGGAAAGGATACTGGACATTACGTTATTTCTTTCAGCAAGAAATCTTGCATTCCGTGGTTCAGACACGGCAATTGGTTCAAAGAGCAATGGAAATTTTCTTGGGGTGTTTGAATTACCGGCTAAGTACGATGCCGTCCTCAAGGAGCTTCTGTTAAGAATTCAGGACAAAAAAACAAACGCTCACTATTTGAGCAATGACACACAGAACGAGTTGATTAGATGTTTAGCGCAGGAGATTGAATCAGAAAACCTTTCTATGGTAAAAAAAGCAAAATACTATTCGGTTATTTTAGATTGCACGCCAGACGTTTCGCACAAAGAACAAATGAGCATAATTTTAAGATCAGTGACATGTACTTCTAGAGTAGGTATTAACATTTCCGAAAATTTCTTTGGATATCTCACAGTAAATGATACCACTGGAAATGGGCTTTTGGATGCCTTTTTAAATTAGGCAAAAAAATGGGATCTAAATATTCTTGATTGTCGAGGCCAATCTTATGATAATGGTGCTAACATGAAAGAAAACTTAAAGGTGTTCAAGCCAGGCTTCTAGAAATGAACCCAAAGGCTATATATGTTCCATGTGCAAATCATTCACTGAATCTTGTTATTGTTGATGGTGCACTGTCATCTATCAGTGCAATATCTTTTTTTGGAGTTCTTACAAGATTGTATACCCTCTTTTCATCGTCTCCTCCTCGATGGGAAATTTTAAAATCGTGTGTGGAAATTTCTGTCAAACCACAATCAGATACAAGATGGGAAAGTAAAATAAACTATGTTAAACCACTTCGCTATTATCTGAAAGAAATTTTAGAGGCACTCGACAGATTGGAAAAACATGCCTTTGAAAAGAAAGATGGGGCAACAGCCACAGAAGTACGATCTCTGATTGAATATATTAGGACATGGCCTTTCTTATTATCAATCATTATTTGGTATGACGTTTTATTTCAAATCAACAAATCAAGTAAGCTTCTTCAGTCTTCTACAACCTCTCTTGACATATTGGCTAGTGAAATAAAAGCAACAAATACATTTCTTTATGAGTATCGTGAGACTGGATTTACTGACGCACATATTAAAGCACAAGAAATTGCAGAAGAATTGGGAATTGAAAAGGTTTTTCCAACAGTGCGCTTACGAAAAAAAAAAAAATGTATTCATACGAGTGTGCTAATGAAACTCGGCAACCTGAGCATCAATATAAAACAGATTTCTTTTTACCACTCATTGACATGTCAATTGCATCAGTAAAGGAGCGTTTTGAACAGGTCAGTATCTTCACAAATCTTTTTGACTTTCTTTACCGGTCTGAGAGTCTTATCAAAGCCTGTAATGAAAATTCTCTTACTGTATTTTGCACAAATTTGCAAACGAAGCTCGGTGATATAGATTCTGAGGATTTGAAAATGGAGTTGAAACGATTTGTCATAGTTGTACAAGAGGACAAAAATACAAACCTGAAATCTGCATATTTCCTTAACTACGTCTACAAAGAAGAGCTGCAGGAAACTTATCCTAATCTAGTTATTGCGTTACGCAACATTCTTACTTCTCCAGTAACTGTTGCAAGTGCAGAACGTACCCAGCGGGCACAGACGTCAATCAAACGTCTTACAGACGTCTTAACTTGGTCGCGACGTCTCAGACCAAATTAG